GGAAATGGATCTGGCTGGCAGGGAATGAGTTGGTAGGTGGGATCTGTGGGAAAGCAGGTCTCAGGAAGTGCTCAGCGACACCCCCACCCTTACCCTCCAGTGGGTCTAAGGTGAAGCAGGGCCTGGGGCAGACTTACAAATTCTCACTTTCTGTTGTGGTTTGAGTGTGATGTCTCCCCTAGGCTCACATGCCTGTACACGTGGTGCCTGTTGTCTGTACTCCACGTTTGAGGAAGTTACAGAGCCCATCGGGAGGCGGAGTCTTTTTGGTGATTCAGCTGCTATGGAGTCATTTCCGCTCCTATAAGTGACCCCTGACCCATATACCGGTTAGTAACCCCAATAAGAACTCATTGGCTCACTGAGTTGGACTTTGGAGTCGTTGCTATTTTGGTCTGTCCTGAGTTCCCTTTGGGGGATGAATAGACACGTACATGTGTTGCATCTCCCCAAGAAAAGTCTCTCACACAACAGCAGCTCCGTGCGCAGACGACTGTCCAGGCTGTCCTTCAGCCATCTCTAACTGCTATTGCTGTCAGTGGTCACCTGACCCAGGGCGCAGTTGGAGCTCATCCAATGCCACATCGACACATGCCCTCTACCAACCGAGCTCCATGCCAGCCCAGTGTTATGTCAGTTCCTCAGTGATGCAGCCTTGGGGATCCCAGGACCAGCTGTAGACTCACCAGGGAATCGAAACAAACTACTGGCCAGGCTTTTTGAGGGCTATTTGGGGTTGTGGCTTGAGATCCACACACCCAGAGCTGCCCAGGCTTGCTTAGTAAATGGCGGTCAATTTCAAGTTCAGAGGCGCGCACAGCAGGCTTTCCCACCATTCCACGCCCAGGACAGCTGCCACTGGCCACACAGGCAACTGAAACTCCAGTGCAGATTAACTTCAAGCCATGTCCCCATTAGCTTGGCCTCCGTCACGATGACAAGTGCCGTGGGTTGTGGAGGACTGGGAACCCTCATGCATTATTGGTGGGAACATAAGATGATACAGCGGCTATGGAACACAGCATGGTGGTTTCTTAAAAGTTAAACATAGAATTACCATATGATTCAGTCTTTCTACTCCCGGGTCTGTAGCCAAAGGAATGCAAAACAGAGTGGTGAACAGAAATCTGTAACCCAAGCTCCCAGCAGCCTTATTCCCAACAGCCGAGAGGTGGAGGCTGCCCAGGGGGGCTCATCAATGGACGAATGGATAAGCGAACCTGTCTAGATAGACTAGGGATCTTACTGAGCCTCAGGAAGGGAGGGAAGGTTGGGCATGGAGGTGCACGCTTGTGGTCCCAGCACTCAGGAGGTTGGAGGCAGGAGGATCATGAGTTCAAGGTCAGCCTCAGATTCATAGCAAGACCTGTATCAAAAACAAGGCAAAACAACACACACCACAGACAGACAGACAGAAAGACACAGACACACACACACACACACACACACACGGAATTCCAACATGTTACAACTTGAACAACCTTTAGACTTTCACACTATTAAATAAGCTGGCTCCCAAGGGACAAATATCATACAAATTCACTGATATTGAGGTCCAGAGGGGTCAGGTTCAGAGACCAAAATCAGGACAATCACAGCCAGACCCCCGAGGATCAGGTGAGGAATCGGTGTTTAACGGTGGAAGGTCGAAAAGAGTCCTGTGCATGGAAGGTGTGACCTCTGAACATCCTTAATGTCACAAACTGTGAGCTTTAAAATAGTAATGATGACCTGTGTCCTTGTGCCTCACTCTAGGACAGTCACATGCTTAGCAAGCCCTCTACCACATCTCTATATTCCTAGCTCTCTTTGTACTTTCAAATAAGAGCTGGTGAAGCTGCCAGACCTGGTCTTGAACTTGAGGTCCTCCTGCCTCAACTTCCCAGGTAGCTGGGAGGACAGGCCTGTGCCATTAGGTGCGTCATTCTCTGCCCACCCCCTCCTTCTTTACTGGAGTGCATGTGAGTGAATGCACATCTGTGTGCACGTGGAGAGGTCAGCTGCAAGCATCCTCCTCAATCACTTACTTTTGTGGGTGTTCAGGTGTGTGAGTGTGTGTGCTTATGTGCATACATTTGTGTGTGTGCGCGTCCGTGGGCAGGCCCTTGTGTGAGTGGAAAGGCCAGAGGAGGAAGTCAGGTGTCCTGCTCTGTCACTTCTGCCATCCTCCTTACTTTTTGAGATAATCTCTCCTGAACCCGGAGCTCACTGGTCCAGCCGACTGGGATTGTCGGCGTGCACCACTGAGCCCAGCGTTTTTGCATCAGTCCTGGGAACCTGAACTCAGGTCCTAGTGTTTATGTGGCAAGCACTTTACCAACTGAGGCGTTGTTGTCCCAGCCCCGGGCCTGGCTTATCTTTTATCGCAATAAAACGCTTTTAGTTAAACTTTAACATTCTATTGGATAAAATGATGGATTCTATCCTCTCCCTGGCCAGATGTCAAGATCCAGCCTGGCCAGTGGCTGCAATATTCCAAAGGCCAGAAGGACAGCTACAGAAAGCTCTGCCACACAGCAACAAGGTTGTCCTCTTGTACATATGTCTTCCCTGTTCCTCCTCTCCAAGGCCACCAGAGTGTCCCACCAGCCTTGCACAGCCCTTTTCCCAGCCGTGGGAACACTCTAAAGGCCACAGGGTACTAACCCTTAGTGCAACGTTCTGCTCCCAGCGTGAGGGAAATCTTATCTCCCTGGTCCACAAGAACTCTTGAAGCAGAAGGAGGAGCTTGGATAAGGGGTGAGCCTCCCCCACCCCACCCCACCCCCCTCCCCAGAGCCTCACTGAGCCCCAGGACTCTGTGCCTCACCCTTGCCTTCTGACAGACTCGCCACCCCACCCATGTGGATAAGCACTTGGTCAATAAACACTTGCTGCGTGCACATCTGTGTGACAAGGAAAACAGATGTGACCCAGACATCCTTTCTCAGCACCTTGGGTTTATCGCCTAACATCCTCTTTTTGTTGTTTTGATGATGAGATGGGATTCATTTCAAAAATTCTTACGTCTCTGGTATTTTTCTAGAAACTAAACAATCTTGTGATTATTTAAAACAGGGCTACAGTTGGATCTCGGGGGTGTCCAGGAAGGAAGGGAGGGAGGGAGGGAGGGAGGGAGGGAGGAAGGAAGGAAGGAAGGAAGGAAGGAAGGAAGGAAGGAAGGAAGGAGGGAGGGAATGCGTTCAAAAGTTGGGGGAAGTTGTAGATGTCTTCCAACAAGCTCCATGACACAGAAACCCTCCATTAGGGAAAAGGGGGATTTTCATTCACCTGCCCCATGAAGAAGTCCCAGTGAATACCCCCACTCAGGGTCCCCTGTAGACTCTTTAGGAATGATGCTCTCCATGGTGTTGTCTCTGTCATGTGAGCAAAACCACGTTTTAATTGGAGATGGAAACTACTGTTACCTTACTTAGAGACTGAAGACCCATTCACTTCCATTATGTCATTTAAACTACCTTACAGGGTGCAAGAAGGAACCTACCCATTTTAATGATGGGAACACCAAGGCTCAGAAGATCAGAACACCATTCCCATGGACACACCTAGTCTTTTTAATTCCAAGCCACACCCTTTCCCTATGATCTGGAGAGCGGTGGAACTAGGGGAAGAATATGTATCCTGGAGGCTGATGAGACTTGCATATCTACTGGTCTTATAGGCTTAGTGTGAATATTTCCTAAGATACTGCACCAAAAGTGGCAAGCCTGGGCCTGGCACACAGCCACACATTAGCAGATCATTAATTGCAACCATTACCGTTTTATTTATTTTTGTTGTTACTATTATTATTGCAGCCATATCTTAGGGGTTGGTTAATTTCAATGATTATAGTTTTATTATTATTAAATTAAAGGTACTTTTCAAAAATTAATATGAGATTAACATTTTCCAAAATAAAATGTACAAATACAAAGAATTTTGCAGGGGAAAGGTGCAAGTTGTGGGAGCTGAGGATGTAACCAGGGCAACTTAGAGGAGGGAGGGAGACCACTCAGGTGGCAATCTCTTTCTGGGGTTCAGCTCACTCACTTCCTCCTTTCTATCCCTGAGGGATCTTTTCACCAGGACCTTCCAGAGGCTGACCGAGGTGCCATCTTAGATCCCAGGTGAAGAATCTATCTCTGTGTGTCTGTCTGCCCACCTCTAGTGAGGTCCTGGGAGGACCTTGTCCATGGATGCTCTGTAAGCCTGCCCTCCTCCCAAGAAACAGCCCCTTCTCATGCTCCAATTGAGAGGCACAGCCACGGCCATAGCCTGGTCCTTCCTCCAACTGCTAGTCTCTTGGCAGGGCTTTGGAGAGCCCACCACCCGGAATGGAGAAGATCTCAGCCTGCCAGCTCAGCTCTGCCCCTTAAGGCCCAACCTGAGTCCATCCCAGCCCTCCAGTACCCCTCTGTCTCAGCTTCTTCTCCCAAAGCTGTGATAATATACTCTGACAAAAGTAACTGAAGTGACAAAGAGTTTATTCTGCCTCACAGTTCAAGGGACTGTGAGGAATAGTGGGGAAATCAAGGTGGTGGAAGCTTGGGGCAGCTGGTCACATGACACCCACAATCAGGAGGCAGAGAGGGATGAATGGATGGCAGAGCTCAGCTGGTCACATGACACCCACGATCAGGAGGCAGAGAGGGATGAATGCTCCTGCCTGGCTCCCTTTCTCCTCTTACACAGCCCAGGATTCCAGGCAGGGGATGGTGCTGCCCAGAATGGTGGAATCTTCCCACCTTAATTAATGCAGTCCAGATAATCTCCCACAGGCATCCCCAGAGACCCATCTCCCAGGGGATTCTGGAGTCTGTCAAGTTGACAATTAACATTAACCATCACATCCATCTTCCAGCCCCGTTTGCCAACATCCTACTCTCTGATGGACCCACCCATGCACCCACCCAGCCACTACCTAGTCCCTACCCAAGCCCAATTCCCTGCCCTACTCAAGTCCTGCCTCCAAGAAACTGTTCCACTCGTATTCCCTACACCCCCCAGCCTTGACTCACAATGTTCATGAGTGTCAGCAGGTACTTCTGCACATGCTCCTTCCCATGGAACTGGACCACTGAGTCATCCACGCCCAGCAGGACCTCGATGTTGTAGTCATCGTCGGTAGCATGCCTGCGCACCCTCCGCCGTGAGCTGTTGATGCGCTCCTCCAGGATGCCCAGGGCTCTGCTGAGGCTTTCCAGGCTGCCCCGGGAGGCTCCTGGAAGGAGAGGACACCTTCTTTGGTAGCAGCCCAGCACCCCTTCCCCAGGGGCATCACAGAAAGACAGAACCCATCTAGATATAACTCAGTCACCATCCAGGCATCAGGGTGGCATTAGAGTGACCATTGTCTCATTTAAAACTCATGGCACCCTGAACCTGGAGCATTGTGCCCATTTGTAGAACAAATAGAAGTCTAGAGAGGGGCAATAGTGACAAACACAAACAACCTGGGGAAACTGAGGCTCAGCACATACAGTATGTGTCACATGGCGTCTCCTCACTCCTAGCTCTCCTTCCAGAACTATCTCCCAATCTTTCAAGGAATGGACCAGTCTGACACCCATATCCTGGGTCTCCACCTGGGAACTTTGCCCTCAACCCCAGTGCTGATGCTCAGAGACCCATAAATCCCTCTCATCACACCTCCCACAGTGTGACTTGGGAAAGAACTGACTAACTGCCCCCATGGGTCCGTACCTGACGACGCACTGGTCACGCTGAGAAGTAGGGTCTGAGGTATCTGAGCTGAGGGTAAAGGGTCTGCACCACCAACAGGACCAGAGCCCAGGACGCTTGGCACATGGTTCTGTTCCCACCCACCCCCATCAGCTACCCGGCAAATCTCTTCACTCAGTCACACAGTGGGTATATCTTCAATACAAATCACTGTCTCCATTTTACAGACAAGGAACCCTTATGTGGCAGGCAACCAGGCAGACACTTCATGTCCTCAAGCTTACCTTTAACACTACAAACTGATAGTATAACACTGATAGTATAACACACACACACACACACACACTCCACATATACCATACATATATAAACCTGCAGGCAGACACGTATATGCTTAAACCACAAATGAACATCTATACCTTATGCTCATATGTGCATGCAATGCACACATGCACAAACACGGCAGGTCCTGCCCAGGGCTGCTCTAGGCATGAGGAATGGGCCAGCCCCGCAGGAAGGGCCCCATGCAGAGCTAAGCGCTGCTCTGCTCAGCTGCCTGGAGATAATTCAGGGCCATCCTGATGCTTCCAGAGGAGCCGCCTGGGACTTAAATCTGACACAAGGCTTGAGGGATCGCTGCTCTATTTTCATGCATTTATTTCTTTGCGTCTTCAGCGAGCAGGGACAGCTCACCTTCAGAGCCACCTTGGGAAGCAAAGATGGTGATTTCCCCAGAAAAATTTCTCCCCTGGGGAAAGAGCTAGACACCACCTTCTGCCCCTGGCTTGCTCAGGGTCACACACAGGCAGCCCCCAGGGGGTGGGGGGGAGAGCAGACTGGAGAGGTACTCCTTGGGGCCACAAGGTGTTTTTTTAAAAATGCTTAATTTTGTTGACAGCATTTGAAACTTGGAAGATTTCACATTGGAAATCATCAAGAACATCCAGTCTCTCTTGAGAAACTAAGAGACGGGGCCGGCCTTGGGTCACCTAGGTGTGCCAAGAGAGGGCACATAGGGTCCTAGGTCACCAGGGAAGCCACCTGCCAGCGGTGATGCCAACCTGGCACAGTTGTTCAGCCAAACCGTGAGCTCCAGGCACATCCGAAGCAATGAGGCTTTGTAAAGATGCTTTGGAGGTGCCAACTTCACCTCAAGCATGGTGATTACTGTCACTGACATTATTCTTATCGTGATGATTTTCGTGGGGAGGGGTCCCCAATGTGCTCTCCTGTTGTGATAAAAGACTGACCAAAGCCAACTTGGTCAGGAAATGGTGTGTTTGGCTTAGAGGTTTTAGGATATTATCAGAAGTCGAGATAGGAACCTGGAGGAAGGCGCTGAAGCAGCAACCTTGGAGGATCTCTGCTTATTGGCTTATACAGCCTAGGAATGGTCTAGGGTTTCCTCCATCAGTTTACGGTCAAGAAAATGCCCTACAGACATGCCCATAGGGCAACCTGATGGAGGTAACCCACAATTGTGATTCTCTCTTCCCAGGGTATGAAGATGACAACCAAGACTAGCTAACATAGGGAGTGACTTCTTGGGCATTACCTTTTAAAACATCTTCTCTAAAACCCAGCCCTTGGTAGAGAGGTCCCAAAACCTAGGAGTGGAGAGATGGATCAGCCCTTTCAAGCATTCTGACTCTTTGAAAACTCCCTCAGGTCCACTCCAGCTAGCTCAGGACATGGCAGGTAGACCAAGGCAATGGAGTCTGCTGCCCTCAGGCCTTGGACCAGATGAACCTTGGCCTGCCCTCCTGCCCTTCTGTGTCCCTTTGGGAGTTGGCAGTCAGGCAGATAGTTCACCTCATCAGTCATGGAGACACCCCCATCTTCCTCACAGTGGTTATGACCTTAACACAGGCTAAACTCTGGTCCTGATATGTCTCTCCCTGGCCAGCCACACGCTCCCAAAAGGTCCTGGGCCAACCTCCCAGTGGTCCCTCTGACAGCAGGTCTGGTCTTCAGAGCCTACTCAACCAGGCTGGATTGCTGGCATGACCTAAAGGCCTTTGTGCCACTTGGTCCTTGGCCCATAGTTCACATGACCATATGTCCCACCCTTCATTAATAGTGCAGGCAGGGTGATGAACTGTCAATGCTGTCCATCTCCAGCTAAGGCAGGAAGATACTGCTACCTGCGGTTCAACTTTCCTCTGTGGCAGCTCCCTCTCCTAGCAACACACACACACACACACACACACACACACACACACACGGAGAAATCACTGGTCCCCCACCCCCAGGGAGAGGGGGCTGACAGATGCTAGAGAGAGAACAGGGGCCCCAGCAGCCATGGCCTGGTTGGCTGACCCTCCTCTTGCCTGTGTGTCTGTCACAGGAGCCTATCTTTTACAATGAGTAAACAAAAGATAGTTGGTTCCTGGCATTCCCTTGCTTGGGGGACCCTTCCATATGGCATCTGGAGCTCTCTTTGCTTTGATAAGGATGACACAGCAGAAACCATATCCAAGAGCCCTGATCTCAGAGTCTCTAGAAGGCAAAGGAAAGCTGCTGAGAGGCTGTGGGGAGGGTGGGGAGAAGCAGAGCTCCTACAGGGAAGACTGAGGCAGCAGCCACCTACATAAGCTTTGTACAGCAAAGGGTGCTGAGCCCACGGGCTGCGGGCTGCACCTCCGAGCATCCTCAGAAGGGCTTCTAGGACAAGGACATGTGCACAGCCCTTCACAGTGATGAAACTGCATTCAGGTCTCACAAAAAGGAGGGGCTCCTGGCTCTTCTCATACCCCGCTGGCTTGTCCCTGAAAGGTCTCGGAGCGGCAAGCATGGTCCCCAACATAAGAGTTACTGAGACGCCAGAGTCTTAAGAGGTGGGGCCTAGAGGAAGTAATAATATCACAGGAGCTCCAGACTCATTAAGGAGCCAACGCCATCATGTGGAAGCGGGGTAAGGCTCTTGGGGCTGGGTTATTCCCCTGGGGGACTGGTTGTTATTAAAGAGGGAATCGGACCTTCATCTTGGCTTCCTCTCTTCCTCTGGAATATACTTCTATCCCATCATGCCGCTTGATATACTGTGAGACAGCCAGGGGGCGCTCTTGCCAGGATACCAATACCATGTTGTTTGAACTTTTCATTCCCCAGAATAGTGAGCAAAATAAACATCTTTTCTTAATAAATAGCCCAGTGTCAGGTATTGTGTGATAGTAGCCCAAAATGGATTAAGGCAATCAACAAGGAGCAATAGAAGGGCAGAAAGGTTGAGGCCATCAAGCCACATTGCCAGAGAGGAGGAGCTGGGACCTGAGACCAGGCCTAGGTCCAGTAGTAACATTTTCCTTAAAAAACAATGATTCTGAATCTGGACATGCAGACCCGCTGGTGGAATGCTTCCCAGGTTGTGTTTGATCCTCCAACATTGTGTAAAATGGTCATGGTGGTGCACACTTAGACTCCTAGCCCTCAGGAGGATAAGGAGTTCAAGGTCATTCTTGGCTACAGAGGGAGTTCAAAGCTATCATGGAACACATGGGACCCTGTCTATAGCAACAACAACAGCAAGAATGATTCTTATTTTAGGAGTAGTGTGACCTTGCAATAAGAATATAGTCCACAATAAAGTGTGGGTATGTTCCTCAACACCGGTTTTTTGTTTGATCGATTTTCAGACAGGATCTTACCCTGTATCCCAGGCTGTCCTAGAACTTATTCTGTAGACCAGACACCTTTGTACTTCTATCTCTGCCTCTTGTGTGATGGAACTGCAGGCATGTACCACCATGCCCAACCTTTCCAATATTATCAACATGGCCTAGAGGATACCCCCATGCTCCACCAGCACAAGGGCTGGTTTAGGGGAACCAAAATTGGTAGAAAAGACACCTGGGCTCTAGTCTGTAAAGTCAGAGTGGGATAGGGCTGGTGCCAGCCCTATAGTGCGAGGATGCCTGAGGGCTGGCAGGGCCCTGTGCAACTCTCTGCCAGTGCCTTTGGTGGGCTGGCCTCTACAGTTTTCTTGCTCATGATCAAGTGCTGAAGGAGCCCCCCCAAACCACTCAGAGGGCAGTCTATAACTGATAGCTCTAAAGTCTTACTGCACGCCTTTTCATTGGACTCAGAGATTGTGGAAGAGGATGCTGTGTTTGATCTCCACTCCTAATAAAGTTTGACCCTTAAATGGCTCCTAGGCTCATATGGTCAAGGTTCAGGCTTCTAGCCTGTGTCACTAATGGGAGATGATGGGAACTTCAAGAGACTAGGCCTAGTAAAAGAAGTTAGGTTACCTGGGATGCACCCTTGATGGGGCTATTGGATCCCAGCCCCTTCCTGACTCTCTTGCCCCTTGGTGGCCATGAGATGGGAAGCCTCCTCCTCCACACCATGATGTGAGCTGCCGCAGTACAGCCTGAAGCAGCAGGGCCGAGTGACCGTGGCCCCTAACCACTGAACTGTGACCCAGGTCCTGTCCTCCTAAGTTGTTTTTCTCTGGTATTTTGTCAAAGTTAATGCAAAGCCTACTGACACAAGCCACATGTATCACCTCCGTCACCCTCACTAAACACTGGGGACAAT